AGAAGAGTTTCTACTATGACTGTCAAGTGTTTATAATAGTGTTTCGATGATGATTGTGGAGTGTTTATAAGAGTGAGATAATTGTGCAGTGTTTATAGAAGAGTTTCTACTATGACTGTCAAGTGTATATAATAGTGTTTCGATGATGATTGTGCAGTGTTTATAAGAGTGATTCTCTGATAATTGTGCAGTGTGTATAAGAGAGTTTCGATGATGATTGTGCAGTGTTTATAAGAGTGAGATAATTGTGCAGCGTTTATAAGAGTGTTTCTCTGATAATTGTGCAGTGTATATAAGAGTGTTTATCTGATAATTGTGCTGTGTATATAAGAGTGAGATAATTGTGCATTGTTTATAGAAGAGTTTCTACTATGACTGTCAAGTGTTTATAATAGTGTTTCGATGATGATTGTGCAGTGTTTTTAAGATTGAGATAATTGTGCAGTGTTTATAAGAGTGTTTATCTGATAATTGTGCAGTGTTTATAGAAGAGTTTCTACTATGACTGTCAAGTGTATATAATAGTGTTTCGATGATGATTGTGCAGTGTTTATAAGAGTGAGATAATTGTGCAGTGTTTATAAGACTGTTTCTCTGATAATTGTGCAGTGTTTATAGAAGAGTTTCTACTATGACTGTCAAGTGTATATAATAGTGTTTCGATGATGATTGTGCAGTGTTTATAAGAGTGATTCTCTGATAATTGTGCAGTGTATATAAGAGTGAGATAATTGTGCAGCGTTTATAGAAGAGTTTCTACTATGACTTTCAAGTGTTTATAATAGTGTTTCGATGACGATTGTGCAGTGTTTATAAGAGTGAGATAATTGTGCAGCGTTTATAAGAGTGTTTATCTGATAATTGTGCAGTGTATATAAGAGTGTTTCTCTGATAATTGTGCAGTGTATATAAGAGTGAGATAATTGTGCAGCGTTTATAGAAGAGTTTCTACTATGACTTTCAAGTGTTTATAATAGTGTTTCGATGACGATTGTGCAGTGTTTATAAGAGTGAGATAATTGTGCAGTGTTTATAAGAA